TATGGTTAAAAGCTTTGAGGTAATGGAATACTAATGTGACAATTTCTAAAGCTTGTAGGACAAAAATAATGACATCAGGCCAAGTTGAAGGTTCATTTAAAGATCAGTTCACAAGAATTTACGACTACACATATGAATTGTTAAGGTGTAACCCTAGATCAACAATGAAAGTTAAAGTGGACAGTGACAATGGTGACACAATATTTTCAGAGGTTTTATGTCTGTTTGAAAGCTTGCAAGGATAACTTTATGTCTTGTAGGCCCATTATCAGTTTGGATGAATGTTTTTTGAAAGGAAAGTATAAGTGGGAGTTGTTAACTACTATTGGTAGATATCATAATGACTAGATATTACCTCTAGCATATGCAATTGTCGAAGTAGAGAATAGAGAAACTTGGACGTGGTTTTTAGAGTTATTGATAGAAGACCTTGGGGTAATAAAGTATGTCAATGATGCACTTTTATGTCTGACCAAGAAAATGTAAATGTATTCCTTATATGTTTATGTTAGGTTTTAATAGGTATTGTGTCTGATTACGAAATTGTTATACTCAGGGTTTGGTGCTAGCTATCTCAAAACTTTTACCTAGGACAGAGCAAAGATTTTGCATGCAACACTTGTATGCAAACTTCAGGAAAAAGTATTATGGCCAGACCTTGAAGAATCTTATGTGGAAGGATGCTACAAGCACATACCCCAAGCTTGGGAGAGAGAAATGTTAAATATAAAAATAGTGACCATACAGGCTTACAAATACCTACCTATTCTCCCAAGGTATTCTTTGTTCCTTAACAACACATTAATGAAATGTACAATGGATATAAACACTTTTTTAATCTTTGTATAGGCATTAGTCTAGATCTAGATTTACAGGTCGAGTAATATGTGATACCCTTGACAATAACATGAGTGAAACTTTCAATAGTGTTATTGTTGATGCTAGAGGAAAATCCATTATAACTATGCTAGAAGAGATTAGACTTTACCTGATGAAAAGAGGGGCAACCAACAAAATGAAGGTGTCAACTGTGGAATTTCTTATCTGCTCTAAGATTAAAAAGAGACTTATAAAGGAATCAAATTTATCAAAATATTGGATTGCTAAGTAAGTGTTTACTTTCGTACTATTTATTAACAAATGTTGTTTTTGCTATGTTCATTTTTAACTTTTTTCTTCTGTTACTTGCAAAAGTTGGTTTGCAGAAAAAATGTTCGAAGTTAAGCATGTTTCAGTCATTGGAAACAAGTTTGCAATCAACCTGGACAGTGAAAAATGTAGTTGCAGGAAATGGCTCATTAGTGGAATCCCTTACTGCCATGCAATTGCAACCATGAAGTTCTTAAATTTAGAAACAGAACAATATGTACCCACTTGGTTTAGACGGTCCACATATGAAGAAACATATGCCTCCATCATATTTCCAATCAATGGTCAAATTTTATGGGAAAGAACATCCTTCCCAAATGTTCTCCCACCATTTAAGAGAAAATTACTTGACAGACCTATGAAAAAGAGTGTTAGAGCAATGAGAACCAAATCCACACTCCCTACAACCATCATATGCACCTACATAGGCAACTCTGAAAATCACACAACCATCTAAAGCACCACCATAGACAACACAGGAATCCAGAGAACAATCAAGTGAGCCAATGAGAAGGGACAAGTAACAAATTAAGAGACCATGTCCTTCATATTGTTTGGAATATTATTGTAATGAGATTTGGTGTACTTTTTTTATTGTACAAACTAGCACTTGTCTGGTAAACATTGTTTTTTTGGAAATGATAAGGAACTTGATGATAAACTTTTATTAGCCTTAGCATTTGTTTTGTTGAAGATTTTGTTCAATTTAAATTATGTTCATGTCATTTTGTTGTTTTGATTGGTGAAGCTTCTCTTTATTCTATTTGGTGCATTATGCTTGTTATTTGCTTAGTTTCATCGAGACTGATTAAGCTTTGAGAGTCCAATATGAGTTCCTATCATACTTAGTTGTACTGTCCATACGAGTTTAGTTTGTTTTAACACTCTAGAGTCATTTTATTTGTTTTCTAGTCTTTTGATTCTGTATAAAAATTGGTGGTGAGGTTGAGTGAATTTTACTACATAAATGGATGTAGTAGAGTGAATTTTTGAATCGTAGTGATTCTTTATGAAATGTTAATATAAACAAATCATATTTGAAGATTAAACTTTCTTGGAATGGTTCAAATTAATGCAACCATGTTAATGTGAAAATTCACCTATGAAATCACCAATTTAAGGTTATTTGAAAGAGAATTTATGTGTCTGTTATGATTTTTTGTGAAGTTGGATGAAGGTATTTTTGTTATTTCTGATTACTGGATGAGACTATGTTGAGAATTGCTTATTTTGGTCAGCATTTCTTTGGATAAATAAAAAGGGGTAGTGCTTTTTTATGAGACCAAGATCGAAAGCAATGTGAATGGTTCTTATTTGAGCAAAGAAAAATATCATTTTCCTAAAAATGTATGCATGGAAAAAGACTGCCATATACCTTCAGACTGACATTATAAGCTCTTTAACATCACAAATAGAATGAGATACTTTAAAATGAGTAGAAATGTTTCAATTAATTGAGAATAAATGGATTACATATTTGCAAGCTAATAACATCTATCTAAAACCTCCTTTTACTATTGGAAATGGTAAATTATCTACTTATACCTTAGCAGATATATCAACAACATTATCTTAAAGAGTAAAATGTTGAGTTAAAGCTACTATAGTGGCTCCGCTAGCAACACTAGCTATTTCAAAATCATATTTGGAGAGAAAATATACAAAAGAGACTATATCAAATAGCTTAACATGAGACCATGGTATTATTAGAATATGTCCATTGCATCATTTCAGTTTTAAAAGAGTTTTGGTCATTGCATAAATTTCAAATTCTAAAGTTGTATTTCTAGTACCAATTAGGCTTTTGCATTTAGTGTTTTGAGTTCAACTCACATGGTCAAGTGGACTTTTGGAAGAAAATTGAGTAAATTGGTTTTATTTTTCTCATTTGGGTATTGTTTTGAACTTGTAGAACTAGTCAAATTCAATTTTCATCCAGTACTGTTTTTACTAGTTTGGTCCTTTATTTCTAGTTATTCAAGTCACTAACTTTGGCCAATTGACTCACTGTTTTGCTCATGTTTTATGAACTATCTAATAAAACTTGCCAAGGAGAAAGTCATTGATGAATGCTTGGCAAGTGTACCAATCGTTACTCCTTTTAAGTATCTATCCTCAATTTCTATTTTTTATTTAATCTCTTTAAATCCACGTAATATGAGAAGTTAGTAACTGCTCTGAAAAGTTCCATTGCTCATGGAAAAATCCACAATCTGCTTGTGCACTTTCATACTTTCAATTTTGCACTCGTAAAGTAAATCCACAAGTTGTGGAAAAAGCCATTACTCAGTTGTGGAATTTGCTAGTTTGCATTTTGTTTTTCTTGAGACAAATCCACAGGTTTTGAAAACATTCACAACTTAGTTGTGGAACTCTCGTTTCGACATTGCATTTTAGAGCAAAATCCACAAATGGTAGAAGCGTTCACATCTAAGTTGTGGAATTCAACTCTGCATCTTGGACATCAATTCTTCTAAAGTTGTGATTTTAACATTTAGAAACACCTATCTACAAGAAAAACATAAAACCCAAATGTACGATCCGAAACAAAGATCATGCATCATGAAATCATTTAATTAATGCAATTATGTATGTAAATGACCTAAACTAAGATATGAATGCAATTACATTTTATTCACACATCAGTCATCATGATATGGACCACATTCACACAAATTTAACTGAAACAGGGACTAATTTGAAAATTTCAAACAAATACAAATTTAATTCCTTCATTCATTTGTAGATGTTACAAAAGACAATGACCCAACGTTAACATTACAAAACCTCAACTTCATTAAATTTCTTGTCCTAAAACACTAAAACAAACCACATTGTGGCCACCTAAACACATGAACCTAAAGTCATAGGCAAGACATCAACATAAACACACACAACAAATCAACCTAAACTCACACACAAGATAAGTATGTTTAATACGCTAACTACACACATAAATCTTCAAAGCTTTTACTGAATTCTCCATATCATAAATTTTCCTCCTTTGTCTGGCAATGATAACATCCCTTTCAACAACATTTTCTTCAGAGCACCACTTTAAATAATTACAACATATCACATTAGAAGATCGACTCTATTATTTAGCAAAAAAAAACTTCAAACACAATGTTAATTACCAACACATAACTCCATTTTAATTAATTAAAAATGCTTTTATTCGGATAACCTTGTAGTTACGACAACTCCAAAATTGTCTTCCACAATTCTTTGAAGTTCTTGTCATTTTTACTACTGCCATCTCTCCACAATTGCAAATATGGATTATTCCTACTCCGTTTGAACCACCACCATGTGAGGAATGACAAGTTCGGCACCCTAAAGTATTGCCACAAGACAAAGAAGATTAGGAAACAAACATACCTCATCAACTATGAAGATTGGAAAAAAGATTGCTTAATTAGGGAAAGCTCCCACCAAATGATGAAAAGAAAACATTCACACTTCAAAAACAAAAACCTTGTTTTCCAAGCCAAACCTCATAAAGATCCTCAACGTTTGATTAAATTTCAAAAAACAATTTTCAAATATTACAAATCCACATCGTTTAAGTGACCACGTAAGCCAATAACTGTTAAATAATTCACTAATTGCTAACACAGTCGTTAACGATTTAGACGTCGTGAGAAAAAAAAAGTTTAAATATAAATTATAAAATTAAGAATTATTGAATACTAAAAAAAAATTATATTAAACAAAATTCACAAATATAAAGATATAAAGATTAAAAGTGATATTAAGTCAAAAATAAATTAATCCGTGAACATAGTCTAACAAAATGTGATATATATACTTTTTTTTTCATAAAAACAACTTCCCTCGTTGTTGTCACTTTTTCCACTCATAGTGTGCTGCTTCGTTCGAACGTCGCTTCATTCCACCACTGTTCTGAACCACTGCCTTCGTCGTCTCCCTTGTCATCTCTCACACTAAGTCTCGGTTCTCAGGCTTTCCTTCGGTGCGTCTTTGAATCTCAACGTTCTTGTGTGTTGAACAATGTTTAGTATACTATATTCTTTCATCTATATGGAAGTTAGGATTTTTTTGTTAGGTTAATTTGTTTGAATTTATGTTTATAGTTTGATCTTAGGGTTTCACTGATGATTACAAACTGAGAATAAAATTGAGGATTTCGGGCTTCAAATTGTGGATTTTTGCAGAATTGGGGATATGGGGTTCGAATTGAGAGAATACTTTAATGCGGTGGTTGAATTGTGTTGTGCAAGCTTCTTGTAGATTTATTGGGGTGTGTTGTTTCATTTTGATACAGTTTTTTTCTTTGCTGGCTTGGTTTCAGCTTCGTAATGCTTGAATGAATAATAGGTTGCTGCGTTTTGGTATCTGTGTTCTCTAATGTTGTAGATAATTCAAACTTTTAGGATTCTAGTTGGGACTGGAAGGGCATGCTTTGAGGCATTGAGGCCCTTGGCTTATAGTGTTTTGGCAGAGATTGTACATCATGTCCGGCAAGATCTTTCCTTATCACAGGTATGGTATTTTATTCCACGCTGTTTAACACAGGAGATGTCTGTTATTAAAGAAATTTCATACTGAATAGTAATTGGATTTTTTGAAGTGGCATGCCATCTCAAAAGTTGTTTAATGATTAATACTATTGTATAATGTAGAGCACTATATTGTTATTTGTGGAATCATTTTCGAAATGTCAATTTGGTCATTGGAAGATTAGGACATCAAATTAGTCATCTATTATAAGCTTTTTGACATTGACTATATTTTGGTCGCGGTAAATAGTAACTTTGGACTCTTGATGTCAAAAAATTTTCCTTTAGAAGTTGTGAAGTGATAGCTTGAATCTTTATTGCACTATTTACGTTTCCTGCACCATACCTTTCTGTTAGTGATCTGTTAGAGCTTCATTTACATTCGTTGCATCTTACCCTTCATTGCCCAGTTGTTAAATCTTTACATTTTGGCATTTAAGCATTCATTGGAAATTCTAGTTTCTGCATAATATAATTTAGCAATCCAGTTCATTGGTTCTGTTTTAGCATTTTACCCAATAGGGGATTTTTCGTTTCACTAATCTTTTAGTTCAATTAGCTGTTTTTTAGGATCAGTTCACGTTGCATTGAGTTGGTTGCATCATTGGTGTACCATTTAAGTCATCTTACTGCTAAACACTGCATTCACATTTTATACCTAAGTGTTACCACGCTTATGGTTTTAACATTGGTTTCATAGTGTGATTTTGAGTTTTGCATACATTGTTCCTGATCAATTTGCACTTTTCATATCTTCTCATCATTCGGACTTGTTCACAACATTGCATCTGTATAAATAGTATTTTAGGTTCATAGAGGCATTCAATCAAACAGTTTAAAAAAGCTGCATCTGCATTCATACATCTCCAGTATTATCTTAATATTGTAGGTTTGTATCATTGCATCTGCACATCATCTCCATTCAGATTAGTTTTAAATTTGCGTGGCAGAAGTGCACTAGTATAGCAGACAGCATCAGCTTTTAAAATCCTGTTTCAGCACTTGGATCAGGTGCTGCCAATCTGTCTAACATTGTTTCGAACTGTGACTTTGATTCTACATACATTTAGATTAATTAGCTTGCATATTCCATCCAAAGTTATCATTTTAGATTTGTTTCAAGCATTGCACTAACATGTTCTGCACTAGCATTCAAGGAAGGCAGAATTGGTCTTAAATCTGTTTTCACGACCTATCAATTCTGCGAGACTTGGTTTCATGCATGATTTAATTTTTTTTCTATCATTGCATCTTTAATTTTTAGGCTGGATCTATAAATACAAATTATTCAAATGTTAGCCATCTCCTTGGATTGATAATCAGTCATATATACTTCATTAGGGGGATTTTGAATTTTTGTTTAAATTGATCCAGAATTCTTATATTTATTGGATATTATTTATGTACAGGCAAGTGATATCTTGAAGGAAATGAAATCATTTAGGGAGAAGCTTCTTGCATCTAAACGTCCTTGCATGCTATCTGTTTTATTAAATTAAATGCATTTCTTCTCATTCCCACTCTATTATTTTCTTTACTGAACTCATTGCTAACTGGAAACTAGTGGTTTAACGTTTAACTATAGGGGTGTCTGATTCCAATACACCTCAATCTATTGAAATTTTTTAGCATTAGCTTGGTTGTTGGTATTACAGGGCTAATATGTTTGACTGGTTCTAAGATTGCAGCTGAATACTGAAGTATTATAAAGGGTGGATGAGACATTTGAATTCGCATGCGAGATTATTTGGAGAAATAACATTTAGAAATGATTGTAATAGCGCAAAAACTCTCCCCTTCAAAACTTAAACCACTCTTTTATATGTCATTCCTTTGTGAATGCAGAAACCATTTCCACTCAAATGTCTTTCCAACCTTAATAGCATACTCAAAACCCCATATTCAAAACTCCACAAAATTTTCACCTCAGCCGTGGGCTAATCTGTTTAGGTTTTGCTCTTCACAACATTCAAATTTAGCTACAAAACAGAATTTTTCCCTCTGTCGTGATGGTAATTATGATGAAGTCAATTCCCAATCTCTTCGTGTTTGCCTTGGCTGTGGGATTCATATGCAAGATTCAAACCCAAAACATCCCGGTTATTTTATCAAACCATCCGAGAAAGCAAGTTATAGACTTTATAACAATCTGGAACCCATTGCACAAGAGCCTGAGTTCTCCAACTCTGTTAAAAGGGGGTTTGTTATTGAACCAGAAAAGCTTAATGTTGATGATCTAGGCTTGATTAAGAAACCAGAGAAGCCTGTGGTATGTGCACGCTGTCATTCGTTAAGACACTATGGGAAAGTGAAGGATCCTACTGTGGAAAACTTGCTACCTGATTTTGACTTTGATCACACTATGGGTAGAAAGTTGGCATCAACAAGTGGGACCCGGTCTGTGGTGCTGATGGTTGTGGATGTAGTGGATTTTGAGGGGTCGTTTCCAAGGAAGGTTGCAAAGTTGGTTTCTAAGACAATTGAGGACTATTCTGCTGAATGGAAGCAGGGTAAGTCAGGAAATGTGCCTAGAGTTGTGCTTGTGGTGACAAAGATAGACTTGTTGCCTAGCTCATTGTCACCAACAAGGTTGGAGCATTGGATTAGGCAGAGAGCAAGAGATGGTGGGATTAATAAGATCACTAGTTTGCACATGGTTAGTGCACTGAAGGATTGGGGACTGAAGAATCTTGTGGATAATGTTGTTGATCTGGCTGGACCTAGGGGTAATGTGTGGGCTGTTGGGTCACAAAATGCAGGGAAGAGTACTTTGATAAACGCTATAGGGAAGTATGTTGGAGGGAAGATTACACATCTGACCGAAGCACCTGTGCCAGGGACTACACTAGGCATTGTTAGAGTGGAGGGTGTTCTTCCAAGTAAAGCAAAACTGTTTGATACACCTGGCCTTCTTCATCCATACCAGATTACAACGAGGTTGACGAGGGATGAGCAAAAGCTTGTTCATATAGGAAAGGAATTGAAACCAAGGACATACAGAATTAAGGTCAGTGCATTGTAGTTTATGGGGATGTATTTGTTTTTGTTAGTATAAGTATGCTAACTTGCATTATAGCGTGTTAAGTGATCTGTTTATTATCTTTTGTGTACTGTTAAATCCTGATATATTTCATTTTCTTGCCAATTTATCATTGTGGTAGGCTGGCCATTCTGTTCACATAGCGGGTCTGATGAGATTGGATATAGAAGACACGTCCGTGGATTCTGTTTATGTCACAGTGTGGGCTTCTCCTTATCTTCCACTGCATATGGGTAAAATAGAAAATGCACGGAAATTGTTCCAAGATCATTTTGGCCACCAGTTACAGGTATTATTTTTACTCATTTCAATTGAATGCTTACTCTGCAACTTCTTGTCCACAATGCTGATTGTAAGGTATTTTCCCAAAGTATTATCTGGGTTGTGACCCACACCTGGTTATCTATGAATTGTTACAAAGAGAGACTTTGGGGGACGTTGACCCAGCTTCAAAACTGAAGTGGTGGACGCTACCAGCCAAAATTTGTCAGTAAAATTAAAAAGTAATCTTTAATGTATTAATATATTAATATATTAAAATAAAAGCAGTAGCATTTTGACGCTCGACATTAAATAAAAAATTTAAATAAAATAAATGAAGTTGAATGTTCTCTGCATAGCTTGTTTGCAAATTGATCAAACTCAAATTGGGTCTCCGCAAAAGGTGTAGTTTCCTTGCAGCATGCACCTGAATTTGTATTAAATTTTCAAGAAAGGTGAATTTTTGATGTTGTAGACATCACCATTCCTGGGGTGTCTAAGGTTTTTCTTTGTCTTTTGAACTTTCAGTTTTCTCTTGATAAACCACTTGTCGCATAGAGATTTAGCAATAATCCTAGTTTTCCCCCTGATGAAGTATAGGGAATAACCTAGGTGTCAATCCAAAAAAATGACAAAGAATTGAGTAATTCTAGTGTGTAAATTTGTCCTAATGATGGGGGAATATGTCTATAAGAATCACTAAAAATTACTAAATCCATGCAAAACTATGAAAACCAAAACTCTTTGATAAAAAGTCCTTAGAGAAAGCAGTATGCATATGCAAGGTGTTTGCTAAAATGCCTAAGAGAGCTAACAATGTGAGTTATAAAAAATGAATGATTGGAACAAGTTTGTATCACTGAAACATGTTATGCTATGAAGGCAGAAGTGAGACTGTGCAAAATAACTAAAATCCTATCTAAACCAGATTTGGCAGCAAGACCATAGTGTATCAGCGTGAATGCATGCTCTGTTATGAAAAATGTGATTCTATGATATATTATGGATGGAATCATGATATGAATATGGAATCAAGTGTAAAACAAAGCCAATTGAGGATTAAAACTGAGAATTTACAAAAAGAACAAGTACAGACCAAAATTCCTTAAATTAGCTAACTACCTAAAGTAGAAAACCTAACTAAACTATTAGAACTAGAAAATAAGAACTAAACCTGTAATTGAGTTCAGCGAGATGTATCTAATGTAGAAACAATCACAAAACAATGATCAAAACTAGAATTGAGCAGCAAAAATAAAAAAATTGAACATTCAAACTAGTGGCGCTAAACTAACAAGAATAACTACCAAACAGCAAAATTTGGAAATGTAACAAAATTGAAATTAAATGTATTAGGTTCCTGGTTTTGGAACCTAACAAGAACACAATCAAAAGATAGAAACAGTAATGGAAGAATGGATTTTTCTATTATTCCAGTAAAAGAATCCTCTTTACAAAGAATGGTCTGGGAGCATAACCTCCCTCTAGAGAGCCTAACCTTCCCCCTCATGATGACAAATCCTATTAGAACTACAATCAAAACAATCGACAACCAACTACAATTGTTTATTTGCTATTTATACAATCAATAACCCCGCTCTTCCTAACTGCTAAGGCAGTTAGACATTTAATGTTTTATTCCTTCTCTCGTAAACTCTCCATCTCCTAACAAAATGTTTGCAACAAGTTCAAATGATTAAATTGCACTATTGAAAGTAAAAAAACTTAGAAAGAAAACTCTGGAATTGGATTTGAGTTCAGAACTGGAAATTAAAAAAAAAAAAACTTGTAAATTCAGTAACGTAAACTGTATAAAATCTGTCTAAAACAGAATTCGAAGTTCAATTAATGTCCACTAGGCATTACTTATGATAGCTAAGGTTCATTTCTGATTCCTTAGTGTATAGTGATCACTTTGTATTCACTAGAACATAGCGTGAATCCATAACTAAGGCTAGTAAGTTACAAAAGTGAAAACCTCATGTACATCAATGAAAGAATGAAATCTGATATAGAAGAAAGAGAGAATTGAATCGGTAAAGTTAAACAGGAAAAGTGAAATTGCTTACAACTAATCTTGAAATGGAGTGGAGTGTTGCACGGAAATACAATGTACGGAAGAACTTGTGATCTTGCTCACTTTGGAGTCTAAGGCACCAAGGATCTCCAGAGAAAAATGGGGTGAGAATCTGGAACGTGCAGTGAGAATGGAAAACTAATACCTACTACTACTATGAGCTCTATTCCAAAGAACTTTTAAATAATTATTCAAGCTCTTATATATGCTAGGCTAAGTCTGAAACTTCGAAACTAGAAAAACTTCCCATAACCAGCTTGCACGAATAGGTAGCAACCAGTCAACTCTACATTTAAATTGACTAAACTAACCTAAGTATATTTACAAGTCACCTAGGTAGCCAATAACTCTTCCAGCTGTGATATAATCATCCAGGCTAGTGTAAGTAAACTCCATGTGCAGAAACTGTCCAGTCATTTTCCTACTGGCAGCAGCAGGTGACAACCTCTGATTCAACAGTTTGTAGGTCACGTACACAGTTTGCTTCATGTTCAGATGCATGTACAAATTGTAGTTCAACTACTGACAGGTGCAATTTACGCTTTACTTCATTCAGCTTCTACCCTTCATAAGTGACCTCCAATAGCAGATACAGCCAGTTCTATTCACACAGCTGGATTACTTCTTCTAAGTACCAAAACTGGACACATGAGCTGGCTTTACTTCACTTCCCAGCACCTAAAGCAAAAGCTGAAATGTTAGTCAAGATTAAATATCAACACTGCACTAGAAAATTCAAAGCTTAAAAATATGTACAAACTAAACTATGTCACTTACTAGGACTAGAAATTCAACAATTGAAAAACTAAACTAAAAATCTACTTAAAAACACAAAATTAACACATTTTCACAGAAACTAAGATTCTTACAATGAAAACCAAATCTGAACTAAAAAGAGGAAATTAGAACTAAACAAGGCCCAAAAGGAATGCTACTAACTATGAAAAATACAACAAAATTGGGACTCATCATCCCTATTTCTCCTTTGCAATTTGTTTGAAAAAAAATTTCTTTCCAACAACAATGTTTTTCTCTTGTTTATTCTCGTTGAAAAGTTTGACTGTTTCGTTTCCTTGACCATGAAACCCTTAAGCACTTAGTTCCTTAATGCAATATCTCGCTCTAAGCTTTCTAGAAAAGCTTTGATAATCTCGGAAGCATATACATATAGAGTATATATTGGCCAATAAACTACCAACAAAAATATGGATGGTTAGCTGAGTCAAGTGAGAGAGAATGAGACATGTTTAAATNACACAAATTTAACTGAAACAGGGACTAATTTGAAAATTTCAAACAAATACAAATTTAATTCCTTCATTCATTTGTAGATGTTACAAAAGACAATGACCCAACGTTAACATTACAAAACCTCAACTTCATTAAATTTCTTGTCCTAAAACACTAAAACAAACCACATTGTGGCCACCTAAACACATGAACCTAAAGTCATAGGCAAGACATCAACATAAACACACACAACAAATCAACCTAAACTCACACACAAGATAAGTATGTTTAATACGCTAACTACACACATAAATCTTCAAAGCTTTTACTGAATTCTCCATATCATAAATTTTCCTCCTTTGTCTGGCAATGATAACATCCCTTTCAACAACATTTTCTTCAGAGCACCACTTTAAATAATTACAACATATCACATTAGAAGATCGACTCTATTATTTAGCAAAAAAAAACTTCAAACACAATGTTAATTACCAACACATAACTCCATTTTAATTAATTAAAAATGCTTTTATTCGGATAACCTTGTAGTTACGACAACTCCAAAATTGTCTTCCACAATTCTTTGAAGTTCTTGTCATTTTTACTACTGCCATCTCTCCACAATTGCAAATATGGATTATTCCTACTCCGTTTGAACCACCACCATGTGAGGAATGACAAGTTCGGCACCCTAAAGTATTGCCACAAGACAAAGAAGATTAGGAAACAAACATACCTCATCAACTATGAAGATTGGAAAAAAGATTGCTTAATTAGGGAAAGCTCCCACCAAATGATGAAAAGAAAACATTCACACTTCAAAAACAAAAACCTTGTTTTCCAAGCCAAACCTCATAAAGATCCTCAACGTTTGATTAAATTTCAAAAAACAATTTTCAAATATTACAAATCCACATCGTTTAAGTGACCACGTAAGCCAATAACTGTTAAATAATTCACTAATTGCTAACACAGTCGTTAACGATTTAGACGTCGTGAGAAAAAAAAAGTTTAAATATAAATTATAAAATTAAGAATTATTGAATACTAAAAAAAAATTATATTAAACAAAATTCACAAATATAAAGATATAAAGATTAAAAGTGATATTAAGTCAAAAATAAATTAATCCGTGAACATAGTCTAACAAAATGTGATATATATACTTTTTTTTTCATAAAAACAACTTCCCTCGTTGTTGTCACTTTTTCCACTCATAGTGTGCTGCTTCGTTCGAACGTCGCTTCATTCCACCACTGTTCTGAACCACTGCCTTCGTCGTCTCCCTTGTCATCTCTCACACTAAGTCTCGGTTCTCAGGCTTTCCTTCGGTGCGTCTTTGAATCTCAACGTTCTTGTGTGTTGAACAATGTTTAGTATACTATATTCTTTCATCTATATGGAAGTTAGGATTTTTTTGTTAGGTTAATTTGTTTGAATTTATGTTTATAGTTTGATCTTAGGGTTTCACTGATGATTACAAACTGAGAATAAAATTGAGGATTTCGGGCTTCAAATTGTGGATTTTTGCAGAATTGGGGATATGGGGTTCGAATTGAGAGAATACTTTAATGCGGTGGTTGAATTGTGTTGTGCAAGCTTCTTGTAGATTTATTGGGGTGTGTTGTTTCATTTTGATACAGTTTTTTTCTTTGCTGGCTTGGTTTCAGCTTCGTAATGCTTGAATGAATAATAGGTTGCTGCGTTTTGGTATCTGTGTTCTCTAATGTTGTAGATAATTCAAACTTTTAGGATTCTAGTTGGGACTGGAAGGGCATGCTTTGAGGCATTGAGGCCCTTGGCTTATAGTGTTTTGGCAGAGATTGTACATCATGTCCGGCAAGATCTTTCCTTATCACAGGTATGGTATTTTATTCCACGCTGTTTAACACAGGAGATGTCTGTTATTAAAGAAATTTCATACTGAATAGTAATTGGATTTTTTGAAGTGGCATGCCATCTCAAAAGTTGTTTAATGA